GAGGTCTCCAAGACGCTCAAGATGGCCTCCAAGACGGCCCAAGAGCCCTCCAAGACGTCCTCCAAGAAGGCCCGAAAGGGTCAAAATGGCCTCCAGACGGCCAAGATGACCTTCAAGATGCCCACGTGTTCCCCGAAGGCTTTCCAAACCGATTCGGGGAACACATGGTCCGATAGCTTGGCAGGTCTGGCCTCAACGTTCGGCCACATAGGCGCTTCCAAAAAGGCAGGGGGCGGCGGTGATTCGCCGTAGGCGTCTTCGATCCGCCGCCCCCTGTCGATTCATCGCAGGGGTGCCTGGCGGATTATTTCCGTTTTGGTTTTGGTTCTTTTTCCAAAAGAACTCCCCCTGGGGCTTCGGCCCGTAACGCCGGCCACCCGAAAAGACTGCCCAGGATGCCCGGAGCCGGTTGCCAAGGGTTTTTCCGTTCCAGACGGCTCCAAGATGGCCCAAGATGGCTTCCAAGACGTCTCCAAGACGGCCAAGATGGCCTCCAAAACGGCGAAGATGGCCCCAAGATGCCTCCAAGACTGCCCAAGATGCACCCAAGACGGCCCAAAATAGCAGATGCCTTTAAGTTCGTCCAAGAAGCCTCCAAGACGGCCCAAGAGGTGCTCCAGGAAGGCCCGAAGAGGGCAAAATCATATATTCTCCTTAGGTTTACGAAGCATTTTGGCATTTGCCTCTTCTCGGCATTCCGACGGCTCAAGACGGCCCAAGAGGCCGCCAAGATCGCCCACGAGGCCTCCAAGACGGCCCCATGACGGCCCAAGACGCCTCCAAGACGGGCACCACAAGAGGGCCCCAAGTCGGCCCAGAAAGGCCCCCCCAAACGGCTTCCGACGGCGTCAGACGGGCCAGGAGCCCACCAAGATGGCCGAAGTTGGCTCGAAGCTGGCCCAAGACGGCCCAAGAGGCCTCCAAGAGGGCCTCCAGGAAGTCCAGAAAAGGCCAAAAACACTGACTTCCCTGAGGTTTGTGAAGGATTGTGACATTTGCTTCTTTTCGGCCTCCGACGGCCCGATACGGCCCACGAGCCCCCGAAGATCGCCCAAAGATCGCCCAAGATGCCTCCAAGATGGCCCCAGAACGGCCCAAGAGGCCCCCAAAAAGACGGCCCCAAGAGGCCCCCAAGACGACCCAGGAGGCTTTTAAGACGCCCAAGATGGCCTCCAATACGGCCCTGGAGCATTCCAAGAAGGCCCCAAGTCGGCTCAGAGAGGCCCCCCAAACGGCTTCCGACGGCGTCGGACGGGCGGGGGGCCCATCAAGACGGCCGAACATGGCCCTAAGATGGCCCAAGACGGCCCAAGAGGCATCCAAGAGGGCCTCCAGGAAGGCCCGAAAAGGCCAAAATCATTGATTTCCCATTGGTTTTGAAGGATTGTGGCATTTGCTTTTTGTTCTGCCTTGCGACGGCCCGAAACGGCCCAAGTGCCCCCAAAGATCGCCCAAGAGGCCCAAGACGGCCCCAAGAGGCCCCCAAGACGGCCCAAGAGGTCTCCAAAACGCTCAAGATGGCCTCCAAGACGGCCCAAGAGCCCTCCAAGACGTCCTCCAAGAAGGTCCGAAAGGGTCAAAATGGCCTCCAGGCGGCCAAGATGACCTTCAAGATGCCCACGTGTTCCCCGAAGGCTGTCCAAACCGATTCGGGGAGCACATGGTCCGATAGCTTGGCAGGTCTGGCCTCAAAGTTCGGCCACATAGGCGCTTCCAAAAAGGCAGGGGGCGGCGGTGATTCGCCGTAGGCGTCTTCGATCCGCCGCCCCCTGTTGATATATCACAGGGGTGCCTGGCACGTCAGATCCTAGACGGTTTCGGCCCGTCCCGCCGGCCACCCGAAGAGACCCCAAACTGGCCCCAAATGGACTCCAAGATGCCTCCAAGACGGCCAAGATGGCCTCCAAGTCCGCCTAAGATGCTCCAAGATGGCCTCCAAGACGGCCCGAGAGGGTCCAAGATGCCTCCAAGTCCGCCCAAGAAGCCACCAAGACGGCCCAGAAGGCCTCCCAAGAGGGCTCCAAGACGGCCCAAGAGGGCTCCTAGAGGTTCTCTAGGATGGCCCGAAGAGGTGGAAATCATTGATGCTCCTTGTAAGAAGGAGTTGGGCAGTTGCTGAATGTCGGCCTTCAGACTGCCCAAGAGCCCCCCCAGATCGCCCCAAGATCGCCCAAGAGGCCTCCAAGAGGGCCCCATGACGGCCCAAGAGGCTCCCACGATGGCCCCAAGAGGACCCCAAGACGGCCCAAGAGGCCTCCCAGAGGGCCCCATGACGGCCCAAGAGGCCCTCAAGACGGCCCCAAGAGGGCCCCAAGACGGCCCAAGAGGCCTTCAGGACGCCCAGGGTGGCCTCCAAGACGGCCCTGGAGCACCCCAAAAGGGCCCCAAGTCGGCCCACGCAGGCCCCCAAGACGGCTTCCGACGGCGTCAGGCGGGCCAGGAGCCCACCAGGACGGCCAAAGAGGCCCCCGAGAAGCCCCCACGGGCCCCCAGGGGGCCCAAAGAGGCCCCCAAGATGCCTCCAAGAGGCTCCCAGGAAGCTCCCAGGAGGCCCCAAGAGTGTCCCCAGAGGCTCCCAAGATGCCCCCCATCCTCCTCCTCCTCCTCCTCCTCCTCCTCCTCCTCCTCCTCCTCCTCCTCCTCCTCCTCCTCCTCCTCCTCCTCCTCCTCCTCCTCCTCCTCCTCCTGATCTTCCCCGCCATCATCCCCCAAGTGTTCCCCGAAGGGTGTCCACAACGGTTGCGGGAACAGATGGTCCCATAGCTTGGCACAGCTCTTGCCACAACGCTCGGCCACATGGGCGATTCTAGAATGCAGGGGGCGGCGGTGATTCGCCGTAGGCGTCATCGATATATATATATATGTATAAATATGTATACTTATATATGTATATGTATGTATACATATATATATACATACATATACGTGTGCATAAACATAAACATAAACATATACACATACATATACATACATATATACCTATATACATACATACACACAAACATGTGTATATATATATACATACGTATACATATACATATACATATACATATACATATACATATACATATACATATACAGATACATATATATGCATATACATATACATGTACATATACATATACATGTACATATACATATACATATACATATACATATACATATACATATACACAAACACATACACATATACATATGCGTATGCATATACACATACACATACACGTGCACATACACATATACATATACACATACATATACAAATACATATACATATACATATACATATGCACATACATACACATATACATACACATACGAAACATCATAACAAAGATGCTCTTGCATATATGAGATCAGTACTAGCTGTTGTATAACCACAAAAGAACGGGTAGACACGGGTAGGCAAGCCGAGCAGGAGGACACGAGGAGGGAGGAAGATAACGAAGGAAACGGAGTAGGAGGAGGAATAAGGAAAGGGAGGGACGGGTAGACCAAAGAAATAGGGAGAAGGGAGGGGGAGGAGGAGGACGGAAGATAGAGGGATGGAGCTAGGGAGAGGCGGGAGAGGAGGGCTTCTTGATTACAAGTCGTCCCGTTGCGGGAGCTTTCGCTTGTGGGAAACAAGAGCGGGGATGGGCAAGGTAGGTGCACTCGCGCCACATCGAACATACGATCCATCCCTTCCATCCCATCCCATTTCGCTGACTTGTCCTCTATCCACGGACGCGTGGCATAGCCGACCTGGAACTCCAAAACAGACCGCATCGTGTAATGAACAATCGGAAAACTGGAGCTGCGAAGAGGAGGTGGCGGGTGAGCAGGAGGATGAGCAGGAGAAAAAAAGAGGACGAGGAAGGAGCAGAACGAGGACAAACAGCAGCAGCAGGAACTGAAGTGGAAAGAGCGGGAGAAGCAGGATGAGCAGGGGAAGGCGGAGGAGCTGAGCAGGAAAAAAAAAAAAAAACGAATCAGGAAGGAGGACGAGGACGAGGACGTGCAGCAGCCGCGGGAACATGACTGGAAAGAACTGGAGGAGCAGCAGGACTAGGGGAAGGCGGAGGAGCTAAGCAGGATACAAAAAGAGAAAGGAGGGGAAAGGGCGACAACGATGAGGAAGGACTCGCATCCAGAAAAGAAAGGCCCTCGCTGGGGCGAAAGCGCCATTCTGAACGACGGAAGCACGGCACCGGTCCAAAAATGAGCCCGCACTGCAGCGGGAAAACCATGTCTTCAACGAAAACGAGCAGATTGTAAAAACGCATGGGGGGGCGGGGATTCAGCCCAATCCTGCGAAAAGAAAAAGCAGAACGCGGAGAGCGCCTTCTGGACAGAGCTGGGGGAGAGAGGAAAAGGTGTTCCGACTGTGCAGCTGCAGGGAGGAGGGACGGAGGAGGAGCAGGAGAAGGGTTGGAGGCCTGAAAATGGGCACCAACACCAACACAGGGGGGTGCCTCCACAGGGGGAAGGTGATCCTAGATTTCGGTGTTGGTGGTAACAGTTCGACCACCTCGGCAGCCACAATGCTGCCGCCATCACCGAGATCGGGATCTCCTTCCCTCGGTGGAGGCACACCGCCGAGAGCTCTAGGCCTAGAGCTCTAGGCCTAGAGCTCTAGGCCTAGAGCTCCTCCCTTTCGCAGGCCTAGAGCTCCAGGCCTGCGAAAGGGAGGAGGAGGAAGCGGAAGGGGCAGCGAGAGGCAGCGAGGCGGGAGGGAGGAGGAGGAGGAGGAGGAGGAGGAGGAGGAGGAGGAGAAGGAGGAGGAGAGGAGGAGGAGGAGAGAGGAGGAGGGAGGAGGAGAAGGAGGAGGAGGAGGGAGGAGGAGGAGGAGGAGGAGGAAGAGGAGGAGAGAGGAGGAGGAGGAGGGAGGAGGAGAGGAGGAGGGAGGAGGAGGAGGAGGAGGAGGAAGGAGGAGGAGAGAGAGAGGCAGCGAGGCAGCGAGGCAGCGAGGCAGCGAGGCGGGAGGGAGGAGGCACGCGGGCGGCGTCGGGGGGGGCGGCCGCGGTCTCGAGGCCCCCGCCGCGCGGCCGGGGACGAGGGCGCTCCTGCCCGGGCGGGGCGCCGCGCGGCTCTTCCCCTCGGCCGACCAGTCGAGCCTCGGTCGACCTTCGATCGGCCCTCCTCCTCCTCCTCCCCCTCCTCCTCCTCCCCCTCCTCCTCTCCTCTCCCCTCCCCCCCCTCCTCCTCCTCCTCCTCCTCCTCCTCCCCTCCTCCTCCTTCCCCGGTCGATGCTCGATCGGTCTTCGATCCTCGACGCTCGATCGATCTTCGATCGGCCCTCGATCCGTCGATCGTCGATCCCCCCCTCGCCCTCCCGCCCCAGGGACGACGGCAAAGGCGACGGCGGCTGCGAAGGCGGCCGCGGCCACGACGGCGACGACGGCGACGACGGCGGCGGAGGCGGCGACGGCAGCAGCGGGGACGATGCTGGCGTGACGCTTTGAACTGGACACTCACTCCACTGAAGGGACGGAAGGGACGGGTCCAAAGCTCCAGAGAAGCTCGCGCGACTTGGGCCCACGGGGTCAACGGGGCCAGGACGCGAACCGTTGACTTCGCCTATTCCGCGAAGTGCGAGGGGGGACGAGTCCATCACCCTGGGCCCCCTGATTCCGAGGCTCGCCAGTCGGTCCAGAGGGCTCCCCCCGACAGAACTTTGCTGCCCTCGCTTCTCGCCCGGTACCCTCGACGGCTGGGCGTGACCATGTGTTCCACTTTGAAGGGGCCCTGGGACACACAAATAACTACACACGGATAAAAGGATTACCCATACTTTCCCATATTTTCTGGGTTGCTGTGTACCCCCCCACTGCCTATATTTCCCTATATTTTCTGGGGGATCGACGATCAATAGTAGCTGTGTGCTTTTTCTCCAACCGACACTTGGGTTGGCACAAAGCCGATTAAGTCGGGCGCCGCAGCTCCCCCAGTGGTCAACACGCTCGTCTACTCGACGAGTCATGCTCTAGGAGCATAAAAGCGATAAGCAAACACGAAAAACACGAATCGTGCTCGAACAGCAAAGCAGCGATGATCAGACACCCCCCCAAAAAAAACAGTGAATCGCAGCCGGGCGACCCTCGACGCAGCACGGTTTGGCGTGCTCCGTGAACGAGATACGGCGGCCACGCATGCTTCTAGCTGGAAGCATGGGGGCGAGCAGCTCGCCCAAAACCTCTGAGCCCGATCCCCCCCAGATCACGAGAGCCGCGCCTGCCCACCGACGCCCTGCGCGGTTCGGACTGCGTCGTTGGCCGAGCCACTCGGCAGCCGAGGCTGGCCGCACGTGCGGCGCCGCGGCGGCGGCACGCCAGGGGCGGCGGCTGCTGGCAGCACCCGACAGCTACTGGGCACTCCTGGCGCCGCCACCACGGCGGCACCTGGCGGGGCCCCGTGGTTGCCCGTGGCTTGCGGGGTCCCGTGGTGTCCCGCGAATGCCCGCTGAACGTCCGACGGCCTCACCGTGGTTGCCGAAACGGCGGCCACCCTCGGCGCGCGCCTTCGTCGAAAAATTGCCCCGGCAGCGTGCCCAGCTCCCTCGGAACACGCGAGACGAGCAACTAACCAAAATCGCCACGGGCACTGAGAGGCAAGGACCGCCACGCGCTGCAGAATGTGCACGGGGGGCCCACGCGACGCGCGACTCGCAGGACACCGACGGAAGGGCGAGGGCTGGACGGACCCAGGTAGGGCCCAAGCTCGAAGGGTAGGGGGCGGGAACGAAGAAAATAAGGAGGATCGGGGGGAAGCGAAATGTCGAAGCGGCAGCAGCAGCAGCAGAAGCAGCAGGAGGGAGGAGGAGGACACGACGAGGAAAGAGAGGGGAGGAAAGAGAGGGGCGATGTCTCGTCACGCCTCTGAGCAGCGCCACCGACGCCACATCATTTTGGCGTCCCGAACGGTCGGTTATGGTGCATGCAAGAATTGAGCGAGGCCGAACTGCGTTGCACGCTGCGCTGCGTCCTCCCGATCCTCCTCGCCAAGGTAACTACATGCGCGCAGGCTCGCGGCAAGGGCCACAGGCAGTCCACGGGAAAGGATCTCTGGTCTGGGACCCAAGATCACCAGGGAATGATTGGCCTTCGCAGCCTTGGATATCACCACGTGGACAGGTAACCACAAACCGTCTTGGTCGTCCGTCGGTTTCCTGAATACGCGTAAGACGCCATTGCGCTGGCCCTCCGAGGGGGGGCACACGGAAGTGGCAACAGTCTCGCAATTCCCACGGCCACCCCCAGAGATGGCGAGGTTGAAAATGAAAACGCGCAAGACTTCAATGCGCCGGCCCCCCCAAACGGGTACGCGAAAGTGGCGACAGTCTCGCAGTTCGCGCCCCCCCAACATGTAGCGGTCGAGTTTGAATTCGCGCAAGATTTCAACGCGATGGCCCCCCACAGCGAAGCGAAAGTGGCGATGGTTTCGCAGCTCGCATCCCCCATCCAGGGATGGCGAAGTCGAATATGAATTTGCGCAAGAAGTCTATGTGCTGCCCCCCCCCGACACCAAGCGAAACAGGCGACAGTTTTACCATCCACAACGCTCCCCCCAGATGGCAAGGCCTAATCTGAATCAGCGTAAGACGTCAGTGCGCTGGCCCTCCCAAAACGAGCAAGTGGTGACAGCCTCGCAGTTGGCGCCCCCCGTCCCAAGGATGGCTAGGTCGAGTCCGAATCTGCGTAAGACGTCACACTCCGCTGACCCTCCCATTCCGCGCGAAAATGAGGACTACATCGCACTTCGCAGACCCCCCCAAAGCTGGCCCTCCCAGAGACACGCGACAGTGGCGACAGTCTCGCAGTTCGCAGCAGCAGCAGCAGCAGCAGCAGCAGCAGTACCCCAGAGATGGCAAGGTCTGATCTGAATACGCGTAGGACTTCAACGCGCTGGCCCTCCAAGGCCCCCAGAGGCATGCGAAACTGGCGACCGACTCAGTCCGCAGCCCAAACCACAGAGATGGCGAGGTTTAACTTGAACCCGCATAAGACGTCCGTGCGCTGGCCCTCCCAAAACGAGCGAAACTGGCAACGGTTTCACCGTTCGCAGCCCCTCGCCTGAGAGATGGCGATGTCCGAATCTGAACGCGCGCGGAATGTCGCTGGCCCTCCCAAGGGAGCACGCGAAAGTGGCGACAGCAGTCTCGCAGCTCGCGCCCCCCACCCCCCCACCCCAGGGACAGCGAGGTCGAACATGAATCTGCGTCAGACGTCACTGCGCTGGCCTTGCCAGAGGCACGCGGAACTGGCGACGATTACACTTTTCGCAGCCACCCCCCCGAGATTCAGCGGGCGAGGAACGGTGCCAAAAAATGAACCTGTCCGCCGTCGCGGACGCCTGGCCCCCGGGCGGCTGAAAGCTTATACCCCTACGTGGCACCGTAGAGGTACAAACTTTCAGACGCCTGGAGCAGCGGAAAAGTTTTTTCTTTCTGTATACCGTTCTTCGCCCCCCGAGTGATGGCATGGCCCACGGCGCCGGCGACGCCTCAAACTGCATGCCGCGGCCGTGGCACGCGCGGCCCTGGGAATGCCGGCGCGGTCGTGGCCGCGCCGAGTGGGCCCAAGACGTCGCCGCGCGCGCGGGCCCCTCCTGCGGCAGCTGGCAATGGCCTCGCCGACAGGGCGCCTACACTTACGCACCTTCGCCGTACATGCAAAAGGCTGACATGTAAAATCCATCGGCGTTGGGGCTGGGGCCAGTTTCCCACTGCTCACCGCTACCGACATGCACATGGCGGCACCTGCACAGCGCCCCCGGGCCCCCCCAAAAAAAAGTGCCTCCGCACGGGGGCCCGCCCCCTGAGCGGCCTGGCCGCGCTCGCGCCTCGCAGCGCCGTCGCCCCGGGCGGCTTGCGGCACCTGCGACGGCGTCTGCCCGGGCGCCGCCACCCGGGCGCCGTCGCCTGGGCCGCCCGACACCCGCGAAACCACAGGCCCAATTCGTTCAGCTGGGCACCTCACACCATATGGGAACCACAGGCCCCCAAGCCACTTGAACGACTCAGCCATCTGAACGACCCGACACCCGCGAACCGGGCACTTCCCTGGGACACCTGGTGCTTCTGCAGCGGCACCAGTGGCGAGTGGAGCGTGTGCGTGCGCGTGCATGCGCGTGCGTGCGCGCGCGCGTAGGCCCGTAGCCTTTGGCTCTCAAACCTTGGCTCGATCCGCTCTGGCTTACGCCGCCGGCCGCCGGGAGGCCATTCCCCCGCTTCTCCTCCACTACGTGTTTCTCTTCCTGGTTCCCTGGCGGCATGGGGCACGGGCGCGCGCTTGCCCCTCGGCCGACGGCAACATGATCGCGCCTGCACAGCACTGGCACGGGCACTTCGCCGGCGAAGGGGCGGCAGAGCCCGAGGAGCGTCGGGCGTTGAGGCCCCCGACGACCTGAGCTGACATCGCGGTGCACGCGGAGCAACTGCTGGAGGACCCTTTGGGTGGCCTCGCGGGCGTCTGCCAGGATGACGTTCACCGCGTAGCCCGGGGCTGCACGGTGGACCTCGCCCTGGCCTCGACGGCGGCGCTGCGGGGCGAGGAGTCGCGGCGGGCCTCTGCAGCGCGACACCGCGGGTGGACGCGGACGTCCAGGAGGCCCTGGGCCAGGCGTAGCACGAGGAGGAGGAGGAGGAGGAGAAGGCTGTTCGGCGATGGCGAAGTTCTTCCACGGGCACGGTTTCCGCCTCCGCGGGCCCCACCGAGGCGGCCCGACCGAAGGCCATCCGACTGCTCGGGCGGACGGCGCGGAGTCGTGCTTTCACCCAGTCAGCGTTCTTGCGGAGACCAACAGCGCCAGTCTTGGGAGCTCCGAGTCAAGCAAAAGCAGCTCTGCATTGGGGCCCGCTTCGAGAGTGGGTGACGCTGGAGTGGGGTCGGGGGATCAGCAGTCCACTTCAGCCGAGCCGCCAGGGGAGGGGGGCCCCAGCACGGCTGAGGGTCAGGATAATCTCACCTGCTCCGCTGCTGCTGCCGACGCCGTCCTTCCCACTTTCGCTCTCCCACCCTCTCTGTGGGCGTCGCAAGCGGCCCAAGCCGTTTGGCACTCACAG